TAGTGTCTGGTTGTATTGGTGTTGGCATAGAGTTTGTCATTTATTTCTAATAACAGCAGCCTGAGTTTTGTTTTGTGCAATATCCGATATTTAATTGTTTTCTAGAATTCCCATTTTCTGCTGCTGATTTTAAATATCACTCAAATGCCATTTTTTCATCTTTAGTTATACACATAGCTTCTTAGTAACAAACACCAACATTGAGTTGTCCGCCAGAACTTCCGCCTTCAGCTTACTTTAAATACCCATTCAAACGCTTTGATTTCATTTTTAAATATACCTATACCGGTAACAATTTGTTTCCCATGAAAATTTCCACCTTTGGCTGATCTCAAAATATTCAAATACTTTCTTTTTATCTTAGAAATGTCTATACTGTTTCTGTAGCAATTTCCAATACATAATTAAAATAGCCGCTTTAGATATCTGAAATAGTGACTTCAGATATTTAAGGTAATAATTCAAATATCTAATGTAGCAACCTTATTAAATATCTGAAATAGCAATTTCAAATATTTAAAATAGCAACTTTAAATGGCGATTTTGTATATCTAAAGTAGTAACTTCACTTATTTAAAGTGGCAACTTCAAATATCTATATCATAATTCGAAAAAAAAAACTATTTCAGATTGTTACTTCAGATAAATAATGTATTCGAAATAGTTATTTATTTGAAGTATATGCTTCAGATACGTAAAGTAGCAATTTCAGATATGTAGGTGCTACTTTAGTTATGACATATGTATGTACTAATATGGAATTTAAAAATGAGAAAAACAATATGTACGTATAAACAAAAACATATTCAAATTACGTAAAAAGGAATCAATGTAAATCATTGGTAATTTTTATCTTGTCACGTATAACCAATTTAAAACCACGTTACTCGAATAAATTGTTAAGATGAAAGTGCATGTACGAATACTTTGTAATTTATGTGTTGTACGTCAAATTAAAATTTGAAAATTTAATGCCAAACACATTTCATTAGTTATGGAAAGCCTATTTTAGTGTAAGGGTAGATGTTAATAGCATTATGTTTATTTTAGTATAACACAGATATTTGACGCACAATACATATATTGAAGGTTATTCAAATGACTTTATTATTCTTAAATAATGACATTGATTACATAGTACCATTGGTTTTTGCGATGTTACTTCTATCGGAATTTCGTTTTGATATTTACGGGAATTTAATATGTATGAAAAATTTTATTGGAAATAAGTATATAAGGACGTTTTTTCTATAATGACATTTTCTCTTAGGAATAATTTTTTTTATTCCTTGCTTATCAAATATTTCTGTAATATTTGAGAGTTCATGTTTAAACCACTAATGATGCTTATAAAAATGGTTAACTTTTTGATCGCTTTAATTGTTTTAATGGTCTCCTTATCGGAGGCTGCTACTTATTCAAATAACTTCAAAAGAGCTGATATTTGCACAAATGTTTTCCTCTCGGCAGTCCATAATAAGGATATTAAGGGTGATATCACATTCTATCAGGACTCTAAAGGTGCGGTATGGATTACTGGTACGTACCAATGGGGATTTCAGAGCCCAGAAACTTGGACTTACGATTGGACTATTCAAAACGGGTGCAGAAATGTCATTTTTAATATCACCCCTTATCTCCATACGGAATATGCTATGAATAGTGATTGCAATGGTTATCCTTCCGATAATAAAAAATTAAGTTATAAAAATAGAGGTCTTCTTTATAAAAGAATAGATAAAGTAGATACATGTGAAATTGGAGGATGGGGAACTAAGCCATGGGTAGTTAAGGTCGAAGGATTGACCTGGGATTGCAATAATGAAGGGTTTAAACATCAAACTTGTGATCAAGACTTTTATCAAGACAACTTTACCTGTGATAATTCTCCTGGACGACTTAGTGGTCAAGGTTCAGGAACTGGCACGTATTTAGTCATTAATGGAGAAAGTAATTCAGGAAGTTCAAGTATTACATCTAGTGCTGCAATTGCTATCGTTAACGGCGAAGGTTGTACACCACTTGCTCCTCCACCACCAGCACCGCCAGTAGCCCCACCAGCAGCCCCACCGGCAGCCCCACCAGTAGCCCCACCACCGGTAACTCCACCAGTAATCACACCGCCACCGGTAATTATTCCTCCACTGGTGATTACCACTCCAATTCCCCCTTCAACTACTCCAACTCCTACTATCATTATAATCTTCAATTCAACCACAACCATTTCATCCACTTCAATTATTTCATCCACTTCAATTATTTCATCCACTTCAATTATTTCATCCACTTCAATTATTTCATCCACTTCAATTATTTCATCCACTTCAATTACTTCATCCACTCCAACCCCTTCAACTACTTGTTCAACCACTTCAATTACTCCAACCCCTTCAACTACTTGTTCAACAACTTCAATTATTCCAACCTCTTCAACTACTTGTTCAACCACTTCAAAACACACTTCTTACCCTCCCATCGGGTCTACCACTTCGTATCCTTCGGGAGGAATTTACAAAAAATTGTCAAATAACCAAACTTCTGCTATGGGAGAGCCTTCAGGAACACAACAGCAAAATAAAGCTACAGTAACACAGCAGCAACAAAATCCTAAAGAAACTCAACAAGAACAAAAACCTAAAGAAACGCAACAGGAACAAAAACCTAACGAAACGCAACAGGAACAAAAACCTAAAGAAACGCAACAGGTCCAGAAACCTAAAGAAACGCAACAGGTCCAGAAACCTAAAGAAACGCAACAGGTCCAGAAACCTAAAGAAACGCAAAAGGAACAAAATTCACCACAAAAGCCTTCGGTAGCACAAGGACAGCAACCACAAAAAACTACGTGAAGAACGAAATGGAATAAGGACAATTATTGAAGTGAGAAGGTCTATTATATATCAAAGAATTTGAGAATAAATGTAGATCTACATATTTAGTAAATATAAAGATATATACAATAATATTATAAAATCTGCATTGGATTCAATTAACCTTTGATATTATTATTTTAATAATCAATAAATATGTAGTTGAAGCTTTTCAGTAGGATAATGTAATAATTAAAAATAAGGATTACAGATAAAATAAGTTAATATATTAATCGATTAGATTTAGGCTTAAAGACTACCAATAATGTATTTGCTAAATTTATTTAAAATTATAATCATTATAATTTTAATATATTAAACGATTAGATTTAGGCTTAAAAACTACCAGCAATGTATTTGTTAAATTTATTTAAAATTATAATTATTATAATTTTAATATACAAAAATTTAATAAATATTCTAGTATAATCTAGAAATAATTTTTTTGCGTTTTATTAATAAATTTTTAAAACTCTTAATTATTATTTTTTACAAAGTTTGACATATTGCAAATAAGTAAGTAATGCTTTTGAATATCTACCTAATAAAAATATCTTAAAAATTATTAACATTTAAGATTTCTTAATACTGTTTGAATCGTCTCATTAAACGATTCAAATTAAAATATTTTTGTTAAAAGTAGATATTTAGGTTTTCACTCTCCGCCACTCAAATAGAACACTGTTAAATATAATTTTTTTTGATACTTTAATAAAATTATTAAAATTTTGTAAACTAAAAATTTGTTTAAAAAAATTTTAAAACTTGTAATCATTATTAATAATTACTGCATATTTTTTTATTCGCTATTTTTGTGGTTTGACCTGCGTATATCGATTAAAGGATGTACTCGAGTAACCCGCGGATACAACGGATATTCGGTTAAGATATTTGTTACCGGGTAAACAGACTAATCAGGTGATTACCGAGCAGCAATGCAAAAGACAAAAAAAACAAAGGAAATTGTACCTTTCACAATAAAAGAACGTGAACAAAGTAGAAATAACTTTAAAAAAAAATTATAATTGGCATGAATTACTTTGGATGATTAATGCACCATCAACCGGTCATATGTTAAGAAATGCTTTATTATTGCATAACAATGATCCCAACTCTGTTTAAATTAATTAAGAGCATGGGTTACACGGTATCCGCGATCTTATTTGTTTACCCGGATAACCCGGATATATCCGAATGGCTCGACAACCGCCTCCGATGTACAGGGAAACACAAATGAAATTCCAATTTATAAATAAGGATATATTGTACCAAGAAACAATCCGAGATAAAACAAATAGATCGCTAAGCGTGAAAAAAACAAAAATCGTTAAAGATTACTACCAAGCAACGCGACACGAGTACCAAGAAAGAATACTTATCTAAAGATAATCCGATAACAAACTTATTATACTTAACTATTATACTTTTGAAATTAGGAAAATAAACTACGCGATAGTATAATATAGTTTA